GCTCTTCCAAGGATGGTTCCTGGAAGATGCCACATGAGGACTCTGTTTGCATCTCAGCCAGACTTAGTCACGTGGCCACCCCGAGCAACAAGGAAGGCTGGGAGATCTACTTATGCTGAGTGACCACACATGCATGACTCAGAAGAGGATTCTGTGAGTAAGAAAATGAGAATAGGCCAGGTGGGGTGTCTCACACCTGAAATTCCAACACTTTGGGTAGAATCACTTTAATCCAGGAGTTTGAGACCAACCTGGGCAACGTAGTGAGACCCTGACTCTACAAAAAAATACCAAAAAGTTAGCCAGGTGCACCTGCACGCACCTGTAGTCCCAACTACTCGGGAGGCTGAGACAGAAGGATTGCTTGAGCCTGGGAAGTCAAGGCTATGGTGAGCCGTGATTGTGCCACTGCACTCCAGCCTGAGTAACAGAGTAAGACCCTGTCAAAGGAAGGAAGGAAGGCGTGAGTGGTGGCTCACGTCTGTAATCCCAGCACTTTGGGAGGCGGTGGTGAGAGGATTACCTGAGTCCAGGACTTCAAGACCAGCCTGGGCAACTTGGCAAGATCTCATCTCTACAATAAATAAAAAAAATTAGCTATATGGGGTGGCACGTGCCTGTAGCTACAGCTACTTGGAAGGCTGAGGTGGAAGGATCCCCTGAGCCCAGCAGGTCAAGGCTGCAGTGGCCATGAGCTTGCCACTGCACTTTAGCCTGGGTGACAGTGAGACTCCAACTCAAAAAATAATAATAAATTTTTTAAAAAGAAAAGAAGGAAGAAAATGAGAATAACATCTCTCCCAACATTCCTTTTTCCTTCCTCTTGTTCCTTTTCTGTACCCTCACACCCTGGCAGAGGGGCAATTCTTTGGATAGGCTGGCAAAGGGAGGTCTCACCTTCGCTGAGTGAGGGTGAGCAGGAAGAATCATTCAATGAAGCTGAATTCCCAGGGCTCTGGAAGAAAGACAGAGACCCCAATAGAAGATGCACAGAAAGAACAAGGGCAGGCCTTACTGGAAGCATGGGTGGCAAAGTTGCCCAGCCCTTCCTCCACTGGCCATGAAGCACATCTGCTCCTTCCGCCTCCTGCTCATGCCACTGTGTCTATTGCCTCCTGCACCTGAGACGCCCTTCCCACTTCTCCCTGTGGTTAACTCTTAGCCATCCTTCAGGGCTCAAGTCAGGAGTCACCTCCTCCAAGAAGGCTTTTTCATGCCTCTGCGGGGAACCCCTAATATCACATTGGGAAAAGGAGCTGCAGTGGCATGGGGTGGGGACGGTCAGTACAGAGACCTGAGAAATGGGTCCAATCCTGGCCAGACCTGCTTTGGGTGTCATTTGGGGCAAGGACCTGGGAGGCTCAGCAGGAGGGTGGGACCCCCCCACGGCTTTCCTTTTAAAGGAGAAGGCACCAGCTGCTGGCGGAGCAATGACAACAGGAAGCCATCAACACTGAGCCTTGAACCCTTGGCCACAGGCTCTTGCAGGCAGCTGGGAGGGGCTGGGCCGCCCACACTCCTATTTCCAGGGAGGAAAATGATGCAGCCTGGGGCAGTGGGCCGCAAAGAGGAAGTTCAGCTGGGCGGAGGCGGCAGAGTAATTCCTGGAAGGAAGCTCACACCTCAGGAGTGCGGTAGGGGAACACTGGAGGCCTGTGTCCTGGAAGCTGCCCGCCTCCCATCCCCGGAACAGGCAGGTGGGGCTGGACGGCCAGCTGGGGCCACCACTTGGACACCCGGGTGCCACGCTCCTGCCCCAGCCTCCTTCAGCTGTGGCATGGGCAAGAATACAGGTGTGGAGGCAGCCCGTTGGGTGTGACCTGGGCAGTGCCCTGTTCTCTCAAAGTCCCGTTTTCTGACCTGTAGAACATGGATGAAGAGTCCCCCCGCCCGCCCTGTGGCTGTGGTGAGAGTTAGTGAAGCTGTGGAGTAAGGGACCCAGCTCTGAACAAAAACTCCATGAGGAGTTCTGTCAACAGGGTTGGTGGCAAAGAAAGCCTCACCTGCCTTCCCTTTCCTCCCAAGATGGGCTGTGGGGCATGCACCTGCCCTCTCTGATGCCTGCGAGATTTTCTCCACAGCCCCTCAGCTAATGGTCTTTGGTGAGGGGATGACACGTCCTAAAAACAGACTCTGCCCTCTGCACTATAACTGCCCACTGGTCTGTCACTTGGGGCCAGGCTCTGGGAACCGGAAAGAGGGACCATGTTCCACCCTCCAAACCCAGAGAGTCTTCTCGAAAGCTCCACCTGGTGGTGGTACTCAGGGCCAGGGGTCTCCCCGGGCAGACACAGAACCCACATAAGGGTCCAAGGGGCCAGTTTCTCCCCAGAACCTGAGATAGAGAAGGATGTGGATGAGCAGGTCAGGGCTGGGACCTGGCCCAGGTGGAACAAAAGTTGAAAAGCTCAGAAGGCAGGGTGTGCCCGAGAGGCAGGAGATGGGCTTGGAGGTTAGGGCTGGGAAAGAGTGTCTGGGGGGTCAGCCAAGGACAGTTCATGCCTTGAACGCTTGAATCTTTTGCCGGTCATGGGGCGCTGTGGAGAATGTAGGAGTGGTGAAGAGATGGGACCAGATCTGTACATGTGAAAGTCTCCTCTAGTTGCACAACAAAGACAGATTGGAGAGGCAGGGCTGGGTCAAGGGCCCACGGGAGGAGAAGACCCTGGCAAGAGCCCAGAGATTGGAGGCTAGCCGGGGAAGACACACTCAGAGACTGATCCTTCCTTGTGCTTCCCCACCCAGGAGAAGCGGGAAGCCAGTGAGGTCAGTGGGTGGGTCCCCGATGGTGCTGGAGGGGAGTGGGCGGGAGCTTTGAGGGCACAGAGGGGTACAAGAGTGCAGGCTCTGCAGGACCCTCGTCTATGCCCACCGGGCCCACACCTTCTGGTGGCAAAGGGATTGAACGTCTTCTAACATGAAATGAGGACCCACTGGGATTCTTTGCATCTCTTGTGTCAGAACGGAAGCTTCCTAGGGGTGGGATCTGGGACTGCCATATCAGACCAAGGGGGCCTGAAGTGGGGAGACCAGCAAGCTGCCAGCAGGAGGGCCTAGGGGCTGAGGACTCCACCCACTAGTCTTCCTTCCTGCCTGAACTCTGCTGCTGTGGCCCTCAGAGATGAACCAGTCTTCGAAGCTGGGGGTGGAGATGGAGGAAAACTGGGGGTGGAAGGGAAAAGAAAAAAGAGGCAGGTGTGTGTGTGTGAGGGACCAGACCCTTCAGCCCCTACACACACACTTGCTCACACTCACACTCCGGTCCCCTGGGGCTCGGCCTCCAGTGTGAAGGCCTGATGACCCTGACTACGGACTCCTGTTACACACAGACAAATACAGATACACATACACACAGACACAAAGGCTCAAGACACAGCAACATGACACACAGACATGCATTCGCACACTGGCACACACAGACACAGACATACACAGAGTCCCAGACACACACAGACACAAACATACCAAGCAGAGACGGACACACATAGATGCACACTCAGAGGCAGCTGGTAGAGGCTGCTGATTGGATACCATCCTGGCTCCTGGGCTGGTACAGACATCCGGAATTGTTGGTGCAGTGCACCACCCACTCCTGACCTCATTAAGGAGGCCTTCCGGGGCAGTGCCCTGACAATAAAGGCTGCAGGCCTGGGGAGGTGTCACTGTAGCCGGGAAGCATTTTTGCTGGGCAGAAAGAGGCAGCGAAAATGGTCCCTGCAAAGGTTTGGGGTAGGAGGTCAAGTGGGATGCTCCAAGAACTGTGAGACCTGGCTGGGTATGGTGGCTCATGCCTGTAATTCCAGCACTTTGGTAGGCGGAGGTGAGAGGATTGCCTGAGCCCAGGGTTTGAGGCCAGCCTGGGCAATTTGGTGAGATCTCATCTCGATAACAAATCAAGAAAACTTAGCTGGGCGTGGTGGCGCACACCTGTAGTTACGCCTACTTGGAAGGCTGAGGCTGAAGGATCCTCTGAGTCCAGCAGGTCGAGGCTGCGGTGGCCGTCAGTGTGCCACTGCACTCCAGCCTTGGCGACAGAGTGAGACTCTGATTGAAAAATAAAAATGAAAAAAGAATTGTGGAGCCTTGATGAGGCTGGGAGAGCAGACAGGGTCAGCCTCCCTAGGACAAAGAGAGGTGGCTGAGAAGCAGACAACTCTGCACAGACACATGGGGGAGAGGGGAAGTGTCTCAGTCTAGGCCCTGCCCAAAGGGGCGGGCAGGGTAAGTCAGCTGCGTTAGGGAACTCCACGAGGGACTAGAAGAATCAGGGCTTTACCCCTCAAGCCGGCTATTTGGAGGCCAAGTCCCAGCATCCCCCAGAGGGCCTGGGTTAGGACAAGAAGGCTGTGAGCACCCACAGGAAAGGGGCCGGGAACTCCTTGCTGCTGAGAGGTCCCCTTGCCCGGAATGGGCCCCCGCCTGTGAGAACCCTTACCTTGCCGACTCAACCTTGAGCAAGGACGGAGCTAGGCCCCAGGACGGAGCTAGGCCCCAGCCCGGGGCCCCGAGGGCCTGCCCTCACGCTCAGGTCTGCCTTCTCTGTCTGACCATTGGGACAGGGCTAGGGAACCTGCGGGGGCAGGCGACTTCTGGGTCAAGGGACTGGCGGGGTCTGGGGCAGGGATGTGGATGGGTCTAGGGCGCAGCCTGCCTCCCCGCGGCTAGACGGCTCGACGGCTAGACTGGCGGGCCTAGGCTGAGCCCCAAGGTGGCCTGCCGGGCGGGGCAGCGAAGCCCCTCGGCAGCTGCGCCGCGGGAGGCCATCGAGGGG